ACTTCTCCTTCCCCTCTTCTCCTTGCTCTCATCCGCCCTCTCTCTCCCGCCGGCGGCGGCGGGGGGGGGAGTTTGTATTCGAGCGGGAGGCGGAGCAGGAGGAGGAGCGGCAGGGGGACGCCGCGCCGCAGCAGCTGGAGGGGGGTGAGCATCAGCCTTGACCACTTCATCTTGGCACTCCAGAGCTTCATGGAGGAGCAGCCGGATGAGGGCTACGTGATGGCGAGGTGAATGTTTGTGTTTCGTTGCCGTACGTAGGCGTACATAATCTTCGTGCTGAAGCGTTGCCGATAAACTGCTGTACCGCAGTCTTGCTTTGGCGGGTTGTGTAGCCAGGTCCTTGTACTCGTAGGTTCCACCCAACCGCCCCCGATTCGGAAGTGTAGATGTACCCCATACAAAGAATCCGAAGGCCACGTTTCTATAATTCGCCGCAAGTGGTCTGTTGGAGCTTTTGGTTGCATATAATGTGTGGGTGTGGGGGGTGTGCGGGGGGGGTGGGGGTGGCCGGCCAGATGTGGACAGGAGGGGACCCTTGAACATCTTCCCCTCCTCGTTAGAAAGGTGCATGTGTTTAGCAACTCGGGTTCACAAACCGTAAACCGTACGTTTTGCGTCCTTCTGAATAGACCCGAGACGAGAGAATGCCACGTCGAAGCCGTCTTCGGCACAACACGTCACAGGGGTCGGGGCAGGGTATTCAATATTTTATTCTAGCGGAGGCATTTTTGTCTACTTCTGCGTGGTCGCTCGCACAAGGGGCGTCTTTTTCTTCTTTCCAGCAGCCATCCAATGCTTCGGCCACACTCAAAAGTCCATGCCCCTTACTTCGGACCGACCCTCCCCTCCTCCCCCTCGCCCGCCCGCACACAATGCCGCCCGCCGTGTCCCCTGTCCCCTATCGCCTGGCCCCCTTTCGTTTTGTTGACCAGGTGCGAGGAGTTTGCCTCCGAAGACATCGAGCGCCGGATTCTGGCGGGTCACCCGACGCTGGCGCACCGCCTGGCCGGTGAGAGCTTGGTGGGGACGGCGGCACTTTCACTCATACCTGGAAGTGCTTTCTCCCTAACCTTCCCTCTCGTGTTTTTTTGTTGGGATCGCGTAATTTTCGCCCCGAGGATCTTTGGCTCTCTCTTTGCTCTCGGAAATGTACGCCGCATGAGTATCCTGTGTGGTCTCTTGGCGCTTTTATTTCTGCCGTCCGTAGATGAAGCCGCCATTGCATCCATCAGAGCCGATCTTGAGCTTGGCTTCCGCTGCCACTGCCGCTGCTGTCGTCTCGACCCCGCCACCTGTTCTCTTCGCTCCCCGTGCGCGCACTGAATTATTACACATTGTTTTATTTTGAGCCGCTGCGTCCTTCACCTTTTTTGCTCTTGTGCCCCTGCGTGCCTGTCTTCCTCCTGTGCGCTTTTGTGGTGGCGTCTGTTCTTGACGTAATATATACCCCCGCCCCACCCACCCCCGCCCCCTCATTTCCCTTCTTTTTTGTGTCAACATTCATTCTTTTTTCTCTTCTTATTTTTCCCCCGCCGAGAAAACAGCTATCCCACCCGCCGACCCCCTCCCCGAATTCTGGGGCGTGATGAAGAGGGAGGCTGGCGCGACGCGGCTGTCCGGCGGCGGGCAGCAGGCTCGCGTGCTGCAGACTCGGATGGTGCGCGCTCTGAAGAGCTACCAGATTGCGCGCGCCGCCTGGGCACACCTCGTCGTTCCCGCCCTCTTCGCGGTGCCCAGGTACTGTAACTGTAACAACGTAAAACACAGAAACGACACGCGTTTTTTTGCGTGTCTCTGTGTGTGTTCTCCCTTCCCTGCCCCCTACTATCGATGCTCTTGGTGCCGTTGGGCGGGCGGGTGTTTGGTGGTAACCTCCCTGGTTTCGGCGCCTCTTTTGTGGGCGACGAGAAACGTCTGCCGCTTAATTTAACGGAATGTCTTTTTCGACGATCTCCCGAAAGTTGTAGGTTCGTGTCTGGTGGTCTCCTCCCTGTTTGCGGTGCCTCTTTTGCGGGCGACGAGAAACGTCTGCCATCGAACGTCTGCCACTCGTGTTAGTGTAGTGAAACCATCGACGATCTCTCGAAAGTTGTAGCCTCGTGCGCTCGCAGGAAGCCGAACCGTGCGTATTTTCTGTCTCGGAGGCGTGTAGCATGGCGCAGGTGTCGTGTTGCGCACAGCAGTACAATGGTTGCACACACACACACACGGCACAACCTGCATGTAGCATGTTACGTAAACCTTCTGGGTCCTCAGGAAGAATGCCATTTTGCGTCCCTTTCTGTTATGTTTTTTGTTTTTCACATTTTTTCAAGCATCAGCAAGCACATGCTTGCGCCGCCGGCGTTGTTGCTTGTCGCCCAGACGACGCACTGCCCTCCACCCAGCAGAAAACACCCCAACACACACACACACACGACAACGATGTATGCACCCCAATCAACCCCGGCCCGCTAAGGTGCGGATCGATCAAGGCGTCTTCGGGCAACACCTACCTGCCCATGCCGTGCCCGGTCCGCGAGGGACAGTCCCTCTACGTTGACAAGCCCGCGGTCCTCATCACGTTCCTTCCCCCGGAGCTAGGCGGGGTGGCGGGGGTCGAACCCAGCGGCGAGGTTATGGGAAAGTCGTCGGCGCGGCCGCCAGTGGCGTCGGCGGCATCGGCGGTGTCGGCGGGAGCCACCGCTTGGGGCGGCGGCGGAGTGGCTGGCGGGCTGCTGACCGGCATCATGGCCCAGAGTAAGGACAGGGGCATGAGCGGTGTCAGGAGTTTCTTGACGTTCACCCTGGACAGACCGGCCGTGGTGAGCTCGAGTTAATGCCGCGGCTTTTGATATAGGTTACGTAGGAGAACAGAGTGTGGATTTACGAGAACGAAATCGCTTTGGCCCCGGCCATAAAAAATGCGCATGTTACAACTGTTGAAGAGCAAAATTGAAATTGTGTTTGAGATAGTTTTTTTTTGTTTGCCCCGGTCTCTCTGACACGATAGCCACAACTGTATAGCAATGGCGTTTAGTTACGTGATGTCCGACATCGGAGCCGCGAAGGAAAGGGGCATGTCGGCTCGTTGCCCATTGCCAACTGATTACCAGATAGCACAAGCTCGCGCGACGGACAACGCGCGATAGGGTGCTCCAAAAGAGTGCCCACCCCCCCTTGCGGGGGCTCCCTTGCCTTTTTGCATCACGTTTTCCTTCCTCGCTGCACCGGCAAAAAAACGGCGTCTCGAAGCCAACTTCTCGAGATTGGGGGGCACCGTAGGTTCAAAGAACTTGCGACACTACCTTGCCTTCCTTACGCTGTCCTTCCTTTCGGAGGTGCTGGTTGAATGTCGCCATTTGCTCTCTTACCCCGCCCGCCTTTCCCGTCCAAAATCCCCCCAACCCGACGACAGGTGTATGTCTGCTACGACCAGCGTCTGAGGAGGCTCCCCGTGTGGCTCATGTACTTCGAGAGCACCGACTGGGTCGTGCAATCGACGGATGCCACGTTCAGGGTGTGGAGGAAGCGTTACGCTCGGGGACAGGTGCGCGCGGTCTGTTTTGTTTCTTTGTGCCGCCTGTGTGACCAGGTTTGGTTCTGTGTTGTGTGTATGGCAAGTCTTATCTTTGTGACAGTCTTCTCGTCCACCCTGCGTGAACCTGGATGATACGTCAAACGCATTCACACAGAAAGGTGTCTAGATTGGTGCCAGAACAGATGGGACGAGTACCCATACCCACACATTCCTGGGTTCGGGTGAGGGCTTTGTATGCTGTGATGTTGTCTCTCAGAAAGGATTTGCAGAGAGGGGTTCATTTCGGCATTGACATTCAGAGCGTTGCGCAGTTTCGATTTTTGCCCCCCAGCCAGGGACCTTGGTTTTAGCCGCGCTACATGTAATTTTGGCGTATTTTCATTGGTCAGCCAGTTGGCGCGGTCGATGCTTAGAATGAGGGCACATACACATACACACCCCTTCACGGGTCCCAGACCATGGGCTTGAGACCTCTAATCATTGGTCAGCCGGTTAGCGCGGTCGATGCCAAACAAAAAAGACACACACACACACACACACACACACAGCCGGAAGTGGGTGCTCTGTTCGTCGCTGTTCTTCCCGTGCGGTGGTTCCGTTTACCGCCAGCGAGGAGCGTCTCGTACCACGGAACGGTCGATCGTCCCGTCCCGGATAGTTGCATTTTTGTTTGCCAACCACCGAACGGTTTTCAGCCTTGTTGCCCTTCCTTGACCTCGGCGACTCTTTGTTCCGTCTAAGGTAGCCACCACCACCCCGTATGCGATGCCACGCGTGAGACAGGTGAAGCTGGGGTGCAACGAGGGCTGGCGCAAGGGCTGCGCGCAGTACGTCGTCCTCCTCGGCGCGGACGACGGCGCTCACGGCGCGCCACCTCCTTCGGGAGGAGACCCCGCCCGCTCCGCCGGTCCCCGCCACCACCAGCACGGCACCGGCAGTAATCGTCTAGCACCTGCCCCCGCCGGCGGCCGTGGCGGTGGGGAGAGACCCACAACGTTGCTGTCTCCTTCGCGACCATCGCCGACAAAGCCGAGGGGGCTTCTGCCCGATGGCGACGCCACGGCGGGAGGAGGGGGGGGCGGGGACGACGGGCTGCCGTCCCCGCGCTGGGTGCTGCGGCCGCAGACCGTGGCCGGGGGGAAAGGGTCGCTCGCGCAGGCGGTGCGCGCGCTCGTGGACGAGCGGAGGAAGAGCCGCGCAAAGTCTCGGAGTCAGCTCTTGCCAGGTGTGTGTGTGTGTGTGTGTGTTTGTTGTTAGCATCGGCCGGCTGACCAATGAACGGACGTCAGTCTCAATGCGGCTAACAACAGAAAACGCTTCTGAAGGCCGTGATCTGGGACCCCGTGAGGGGAAGGAAGTAACGGGGAACGTAGGGCTATTCTCCGGATTGAAGACGGGAAACGGAAATGTGTGGTGAGGGTATTCGTCACGGGCGGCCAGAGGTACCAGGTTGTGGGAGCGCGGGCTACAACCCCTGCCACAACCGGGTCCACGCCACCGTGTGCAGCTGACCCCACCGTCGCCGATTGCAGCATTGACCCAACCAGCAGGGCGCTTCGTACTGTTCTGTATCCCCACCTTGATGTGGTACGCCTGGAATACAACGTTTTTTGTGTTTTTTTCCCATGTGTACTTTAATTCCCTTGCCAGGCGGCACGTCCCGGTCGCAACTAGACGCGGCCGCCGCGACGGCGGCGGAACTCGGGCTGGAGCTGGCCCCCGTAGAGCTACAGTACACGACCGCGTTCGACTTGGGCCGGATGTCGTTCCGAGTCATCGATCCCAGTGCTGCTGCTGAGGACGCTTTCCACGTCAAGGCTGAGGTACGCGATGGAATTCCCCCCCCCCCTTCCGTACGCAAGGAAGTAAGGACAAGATGCCGAACACCCTTAGCAGGATGCAGCTCACCCTTCATGCGACTCGCCAAATACCTCACGGCGCTTCGCGCTTGGTGATGTGAGAGCCTGGTCCGGTGAGAACCCGGCGTGCTCCGTCCCGGCTTTGTAGGGATGCGAGGTCAATGGTCAAACGACTACGGCATGCACGACTATGAGTACACCCCCCCTTTCGTCCCTGTTGGGGTCATTTTTGCTGAGCTATCTTTTTGAGCGTCGAGTAGCTACGGGTTGTACGGTGGAATGCTCTCGATTCTCTGCCTCGCACTCGTCGAACTCCTATGGAACATATCAGGGTCATCGAAGATGCACCAATATCAAGGGTACCGCTCCGCACAAACAGCCCCCCCCCCCCCCCCCCCCCCCCCCCGGGGGGGGCCCCGGGGGGTCTGACAAACCCCCTTCCCCAAAGGGGGGGATTTTCCCCCCCCCCACAACTTTGGTTTAAACCCCCCCCCGGGGGTTGGGGGGGCGGGCCCCCCCCCCCCGGGGATTGGGGTGGGCACCCCCCCCCCCTCTTCCCTAGGGGGGCCCGGGGGGGGGGGGGGAGGTTTAATAACCCCCCTGGGGAAAAAAAAAAAAACCCCTGGGGGACCCTGGCCCCGGCCCTCGGGAGATTCCCCCCCCCGGCGGGGGGGGGACCCCCCCCCCCCCCCCCGGGGGGGGGGGCAAGC